ACAATTGAGCGAGTGAATGAGTGGCCTAAATGGCAAAAATAGAAAAAGCCTTGACCTTCCTTTATATCCACCGTGAGCTTTTAGGAGCGGGTTATTTGGAAAATTTGGGTTGAAATGCATAAAATCAATGCGAGTTGTAGCTAATTTCTCTTTTTTATCTTACACTAAATCGACACTAGGGAAAGTCCCTATAGAATAATTACAAAATGTAATTAAAATTTATTAACGCACCGCAATCGGAGCTTGCTTAAATCTTCATTGCGAAGGTGTGAGGCGATGTTGGGGTTTGGCTGCTTAGGCAAATTTTCAACAAAGCAGTATTTGTTTCTTTACAGATTAAACAGGAGATAAACATGATGCGATTATCCAAAATGGGTTTTGCAGCGGCATTGGTCGCTACTGGTAGCTTGGCAGGTGCAGCCGAGGTAGAGGTTTTGCACTGGTGGACATCAGGTGGGGAAGCCAAGGCAGCAGCAGAGCTCAAAACCATGATGACAACCAAAGGTCATATATGGAAAGATTTTGCAGTTGCTGGCGGGGGTGGCGATGCAGCTATGACTGTGCTTAAGAGCCGCGTGGTTTCTGGCAATCCGCCAGCTGCTGCGCAAATCAAAGGCCCTGCCATCCAAGAATGGGCAGTGGAAGGCGTATTGGCCAATTTGGACCCTATTGCCAAAGTCGAGGGGTGGGATAAGCTTTTGCCTCCTGAGGTATCTAATGTAATGAAATACAAAGGAAGTTATGTTGCTGTACCTGTTAACGTGCACCGAGTAAACTGGATGTGGGCCAACCCAGATGTGATGAAAAAATCTGGCGTAACTGCAGTGCCTAAGACATGGGATGAATTTTTTGCAGCTGCCGATAAAGTAAAGAAAGCGGGTTTTATTGCTGTGGCTCATGGCGGCCAAAATTGGCAGGATTTCACTACTTTTGAAGATGTGGTGTTAGGTGTGGGCGGCCCTAAATTTTATACAGATAGTTTGGTGAAGTTGGATCAAAAAGCGCTCAATAGTCCTACCATGACCAAAGTATTAGAGACTTTCCGCAAAATCAAAAGCTATACTGATCCTGGCGCACCTGGACGCGACTGGAACTTAGCTACAGCTATGGTGATGCAAGGAAAAGCAGGTTTTCAATTTATGGGCGATTGGGCTAAGGGAGAGTTTTTGGCCGCAGGCAAAAAACCAGGCAAAGATTTTCTCTGCGCCCCTGCACCAGGCACGAGCGGCATGTTTACTTTCAACGTAGACTCGTTTGCCATGTTTAAACTTAAAGATGCAGGAGCACAAAAAGCCCAAAGCGATTTGGCTGCGGCAATTATGAGTCCCCAGTTCCAAGAGTTGTTCAATTTGAACAAAGGCTCTATTCCCGTGCGCCTAGGAATGAAAATGGATAAATTTGACGATTGCGGCAAAACTTCCAGCCAAGACTTTGTTGCTGCTGCCAAATCGGGAGGCTTGGTTCCATCTGTGGCGCACGGTATGGCCATAGCTCCAGCGGCTGAAGGTGCGATTAAAGACGCTGTAAGCCAATTTTGGAACAATGACAAAATGTCTGTGGCTGATGGTGTGAAAAGCATCGCAAAAGCTGCCATGACGAAGTAAAAGCCATACGGTTGTTGTCTGCAGAGCAGTGTTGTGCAGAGAACCTTAGGCTACATAGTAATTT